AGCCTCAGCTAGCTCCTCAGCCTCAGGCAGCGCCAGCGCTGCTTCCTTATGAGGAGCTCCAACGTCAGATGGAATTGTACGAGCAGTATATGGAGGGGTTGATGGATCAGGATAGCCAGGAAGGCGCGGCGGCGATGTAGGGGGGCCAGGTTTGATGCAGAGAGGCCGTAATAAGGTGAGGATTTGACTGTTTTGGCATGCTCATAGGCACGTAGGCACGTAGGTAGCAATACAACGGCCTATATACACTGTAGGAAACGGGAAGTATGCATAGTAAAACGGGTATGCTGCACAGCCTTGCCATAAGTAGCCTCACGTACGGCCTCACGTACGGCCTCACGTACGGCCTCACGTACGGCCTCACGTGAGGCCTTACGTGTAGCTGGCCTATATATATAGCCTCACGGAAACGGTAAGAATGCACAATGAAATAGTGAGGCTGTACAGCCTTCCCATTTCATATAGATGCGCGTGAGAATTAAGCGCCGGAGCTTCCTCCGAGCCCTCCGGACCAATCAGAAGATCAGACGTAAGAAAGGTGTATACGGAGTAGAAAAGGGGTGTACACCGAGTAAATATAGGGTGTACATTTAGCAGCGCCCCATAAGAATACAGCAAGCAAATATCTGTACAGGGATAAAGTGTGTTGGATTAACCCAAACGCACATATAACAAAGATAATCCCGGCGATAGTTACACTAAGCATCCCCAGTATAAAGCAGGTGTTGATATTACCAGGAATTATCAATGTGAGAAGAGTATCGATGGACTTAATCTCCGCTGTATGCAGAGAAGTAATGTCCGATATGCTGGGAGGAAGGGCGGTGCATTCTTCGACGCCTAAGCAGTAACATCTGGTCCCAATGCTAACGACAGGCTTTGTAGCACAGTTCAACTTATAGTGCTTTAGTAATAACTATCACCAAAGAATAGTTTCTCCGCTTACCGTCACGGTAGCAATGCCTGTGTCAAACATAGATGCCGTAGAAACGACTTTAATAGTAAATGCCAAGCATGTAATGTATGCGGCGAGGTATATCACACATAGAGCAGACCGGCAAGCTATTGGATAAAGGCCCATATCTATACAACGGAAGAAGAGAGGGTAGAGAGAGAAATATATATGTGATTAGGTAAGGCGGTTAAATAGGCAAGCGCGAAGAAAAGATGCCGCTGCTTAAAATAGACCCACATATCAGGCTACTGCCAGCGCTTAGTGCGGCACAGCTTCTCTTTTATCACGCCCATCCATAAATAAAGATGCGGGTTTCGCTCCTTAGCAGTAACAGCCCTCACAAATCCTTGACGCAACCAATCCCTCCTCCAAAATACGACATGCTTTCCATACTAAAAGGCGTCTATCAACGCCTTTCCGAATCTATCCAACCTCGGCACCACGTGGATTCCTCAAGGCGCATTCTCAGGAAAGTTACGCAAAGAAAGCGCAAGCCACGGAAAAGATTTCTCAATAAAAGAAGATATAGCCTAGAATTAGTTCTCCCCGACGCCATATTTGACTGATTAAGCGTAAGGCAACCAATTCGAAGTGGGAGACATCTTATCACTTACTCATATATTTCTAGCGCCTTAATTTTATATCGTTTCAAGGTGGAGGCGCTGGGCGGCATTCTATCTATTTATCAAGGCGGAGTCTTTTTTTATTGCGGCTCTGTAAAAGACGCGCTTTACGTTTCTTGCAAGTACACGATGGCGTTGTCATGCGATGGTCTCCGAGTTGACTGTAGTCCGGCCGGCCAAACTCTAGGTGTTGCTTTTGTTGTTGGCTAAACCAAGAAACGGGGTGTGGGAAGCCGCTTATTCTTGTTTCAAAAAGTCTGTTGAACCGTAGATAAATCGAAATTACTTCGCTCGCATAGTATGCATCGAAGCGCACAGGCTTCTGGTAGTATGAACACTTGAAGCATATGTCAGGTTAACAAACGTTCCCTAGATTTACGTTGGTATTTGTCACAAAGATAGCGTGCGGAAATTCCTCGAGCACTCGGTGGAGCAGAGCTTCAGGGTTCGGACTGCGACACCTAATGGTGCCGGAGCATTCAAGACGGCCTGCGTGATATTCTGGGGGTTCGTCTAACTCGAAAAAGAATAAAGCCGCGAACAATGCTCGCACAATGCTCTGAAAATCGAACGTCTGAAAAAGTACCGACGATGTCTGCTGCAGCCCGTCTAGTCTCTTGGCGTCATCTAACTCTGGCTCGTATTCAAGCGGGATGTTCACGCGAAAGTATTTACTCCTTACGTCCTCTTCAAGCCTATTAATATGCTTATTCCAGTGGTTCTAACCGCTAAGTAGGGATTCAAATGAGCGTATAAGGTGCGTTATAAATCTATTCCTAAACCCTAGAGTGGTCCGCGGAATAAATGGCGATTCTGGCGGTTGAGTGAAGCCTGTTCCAATTAATATTGTCAGGTCCGGACTACAGTCCCATATAATTCTAGATTCCCATTCGGCGGGGTCTATAGGATTGTTGTGCTGTCCTACACCTCCATCCTGCACAAAACCTAACTCAGGTGCGAACTTAGCCGAAAAATAGGACGGTGTAGCACTCGTAGCTTGGGCTCTAACGATTATATTAGCTTCTACAAGCTGCCCGTCATAGTATCTACTGCAACCGCTCTCACTCACGCTTCATATACTCGAGTTTCGTTATTGAAGTGATGCGGTCTAAAATGACGGTAACCTGACAAACATTTAGCGGGCAGCATTAGCGCTATAGAGCTCCATCTTACCGCACTCTTTACGTCGGATACCAACACCGTCGTAATTAGACAGGATATATAATCTTGAATCGTCTACAGTGGTCGTTGTAACCGCAACTTTGGTGCCAGAAACCAGAGCATTGTTAAACATCTTGTGTTCAGCACCAAAGGCTTCTTTCACACAGGCCTTCATCTCCGCGCTACCGTACCGACTATCTATAAGCCACGATCGGAGGAAGTCAATTATACGGGCGCATAAAGATCCGTGGCATTTTGTACGAACTGGAAAGATTCGTTCAGCCAGCGATGAGAACTTAGCTGCGCTAGCATAATGTCTGTCCTTACTGCGATCACCGTGCATCGCTTCGAAGGATTTTTATCACAGCGAGAAAGGCAATAGTAGCGTGAATGCACATGTATTTCAAAGCCTCAATGAAACCCTTCTGCGGCGAAAGAGTTCCAGAAAGAGTTCCAATCGGGGTGATCAATTAGTCTGCTGCCGCTACTTCTCCTCTATACTTCAACAAATGGCAGAACTGTCCATACGTGTAAGCAAGATGAGATTTAGAAAGAAAAGACAGTCCGAAAATTCCCCTTCCTTTGTCTCTCCAACCTTTCTTTGACCACTAGGATGAACTTCTCATACGTCTCCAACAGCGGGAAGCCATATTTCCTAGCCATAACCTGCACGTTTCCTTTGCGCCAGAAGTTCTTCGGGTAGCACACAACTAGCTTTCCGCTTGCTGCAAAGAGACCAAGCTCCAGCAGGCTGATAGGCTCACCGTATTCTCGTCCAAGTACATTGCAGTTACAGTCGCCTTCTCCATCGCCGCCAAGCGAGCGATAGAGGCTCGCGGGAAATGGGCGAGCTGGGTTGCCGAGGCGCTCGAATAGAGCCTAACTTAGTTCGCGAGACCGCGGTCTTGTCTGACCTGGACATCGGACATCGCTACGATCGTCGGCATGAAGCAGCTGCCCGCCGGATTATAGGACCGTTTTAGAGCACGCGATATTGCGCGTGGAGATATAGAGATAACAGCTGTCAGTTAAGAATTACGGAGACGCTGAGAGAATTCTGAGGCCTAACTTCACAAGGTTCTCCCGATTTAACCCCGCGATCAATTCCGCCAAACACCTAGCCAAAGGCTGCCTACCCTTATTTCGCTACTGGTGTGTGGCAGGCGGGTCTTCTCCAGTATTTTTCACCATTGATCAAAGCTTTCGCCGTGGGGTAGTCCAGATTCCTCTAGAAAAGCTTTGAGGCAGATGGAAAATATGTCGGAACAGGAGAGGCGCGAATATTTATTGTTCTCCCGCGCAGCATGGAAACTTGATCAGAAAACATATACCTTTGGTTGAACTTGGACCATTCTTAGTCAAAAAACGTGTTTTTTGGGCTTTAAAGTTTCCTAGCATGTTCCTGCTCACAATGAGCGACGCTCCCGCCTTGGTACTGATACTCCTTACTTGTCCACCGGCAGCACTAATGAGAGCAGAAGTCGACCAGCCTGGCCCGCATCCGCGACAATCAGCGGCGATCGCGTGTCCGCCGCAAGGAGTACCTGCACAAGCTAGAGACGAAGCTACGTGCTTACAAGCAGACGGGCGTTGAGGCGGCAGCTGGAGGCCATGGTTTGCTCTCCGATGCAGCTAGTGTATGGAGGGGTACCAGGGCCCTCTCAATCTCGCTTTTTCCCACCAGGTGTTGATGAAAATAGAGCGTTAGAATCAGCCCGCTTGTGTACACCTGAGTATGGTGTTCCTAGATGGCACGTGCTCGCGGAGGACGCCAGCGTTTGAAGGGATACGCCCGTCAGACAGTCCCGTTACGGGGGCGACGAGGCATCTACTTTCCTCCTATGGAGGCTGCACTACTCGCAGCGTGAGATCACCCTTGGAACTTTTAACACTGTCCTATATGCGAATCCACACCCTCCAACACCACGACGGTTATGGGCTGAGCTTACTTGATTACCACAAGTAAATTAAGTTACACTTGTAATGATTATATGGGACATACGGGGCTATTTTGCACCACTAGTTAACTAGTCGATCGCTATCGCTTACATGATTCCAACTCCCTCGCATGCACGCCTCTTTTGACCCCTCCACCGGTCGCCGCCACTCTTCATCACACGCTTCTCCATCGCACACGTCTCCCTTCACAAGAATATATCAGGGCGCGATCGTCGTCGGCCGTGAGGAAAGCTGCAGTTGCACGAGATTTTGCTGCATTCCGCTGTCGCACTTTGGCCGTACGTATCCGCCTGCTCCGAGTCTCTCCTCATCCGCTGCACGTCGTCCAACGCGGCCGGCGTCAGGCCTCACGGCGGGCGGCTCAGGCCTTTTCTGTGCGCCGTTCTTGGCTAACTTCTGGGCCTCGCGATAAGGACTCGAACAAAGCCGGCCTCAGAGTGCTGCCACCAATCGAAGGCCTCGCCGCTGTACAGAGCAATTCATACTGCACTATTTCTCCTATTGTCGGCCCCTTTCCAAGCGGACTGCCCCCGAGGCAGCCTCCTTGGAAGGTTCTCGTAGCCTCTGTCACCTCTAACACAAACAATCTTCCGCCATTACACTAGCAACACACCTCCTCCGCCGACCTCACCTCTACACCCCACGACGCAATCCGGTAGCATGGCTGGGGACATCGTCCGGTACACGCCCGCGCAGCTACACCACCTGCGCGACTCTCCTCTGGTTCAGAGGCCGGATGGCCTGCCCTCTATTGAACAATGGATGGAACCACAGCCGCCACAAATGTTGGTAGATATACCTCGTGAACTCCTTTTTCGCATAGCCGAGTTTCTCGACTGCGGACAAAGGCTTGCGCTTGCCAGCGTCTGCCAGTACTTCAATTATCTATTTGAGCGTCCAGAGCTCTATGATACCTTACGAAAACTTCGATGTGGGAAAATCTCCAAAGATGGCCAAGAAATCGCGAACCTGCTTTCAACATCACGTTCATTTTTGCTCGAGGTCGAATTTCGCAGGCACGGACCCGGTGCCAGCACTGAGCTGTTGCTTCGGCACGGTGCAGACTTCAACCAAGTGCCATGCGGGCTACCCAGACTGATTCAGGACACGCTTCGCGAAGCCGGACACATTCAACACACTCTGTTTCTGCTCGAACACGGCGTGGACCCCGAGGAAGTATGCAAGCTACTCGAAGACATGTATTGCGGTTCCCGAGCCGCTACCAACATGCAGCTGTTACGTCATCATGGCGCGGTCTTCGATCTACCAGCCAAGCTCCCCAAAGTGAGCGCGGAAACACGTTGCAAGTTAGGATACATGTACCACAATTTGTGCGAACTCAGCGCGGATCCCTCCTTAGTGATCGTGCTCTTCAACAAACTATATCGGGGGTCCGGAGATGGTACTGAACTGCCACGTGCGGACCTCAGAGCAGGCAGATCAAAAGAGTGACTCACAGCTAGATTTCGCGAATTGATACGCAATAACGAGATAGAGCATCGAAGGATCCAAAATTAATTAAATCGACCACGCTCTTGCCGATGGTTTCCTTTTCTTCTGCGAGCAGGTGGAGCGGTACTAATGTGGCTATTAATGGTTTCTTTTCTATTCTATTTCTAATTACTAGCCTTTTATTTACCTTATTACCAAATAGAAATTCAAAGCTATTACAATCTATTAAAACGTTCGCCACCTCTTTCAGGACTCGTTGGCAAGTCCTTAATCACCTATACGTCTGAGTGTTAAGCGATGTGTCCGATACATTACTATTGAGGAGCCTAATAAGAGTTTTACGGTGTGAACTCAGCATTCTTTATCCTGTCCTCAGCATCAATTAGTCACTATGTGTATAGCATCACCTTCCACGAGATAATCTTTCAATTGGATTGTCTCGGGGGGAGGTGCTTGTGGTGACCCGACTCCTGACTTTGAAGCACCTATCTTAGCCTGCCATCATACCCAAAGTCATCATTTTTGCTTACCATTGTCTCTTGCGAATACTGTGCACACTTCCGAGAGTTGGTGACGGGCGAGGTGACGGGGCTAGTCGCTAGCTAAAATTCAAATGGCGCTCACGTACGCTTCACGGAGTGGTGTTGGAGGGAATTGACGTCGCAGTTGTGGGGTACCTTGATGCTTCTGAAATAGAGTAGTGAGGACAAGCAGGGTAGCGACGATGTGGGGATCTCGAGTACTCATACCAGATTATAAACGAATAGTAGTTCATGGCACTCCGCTGCTTATGGCGTTAAAAGAAAACCAAGTACGTTAGGAGTTAAGGAGTTAGGGGATAAGGAGCGATAATGATCTTGGCTAAAGTTGCTTCGGCACGATATCTCATGGTGCGAAAATTATGTTTGGTGAAATAAAGCACATTCTTTTATCTTTGAAAAACTAACTATGCTTGTAGTGACAGGTGTACCATCTTAAGGTGTGAGTGTGTGTTACGTTGGTTCGTAGAGATGTAGTTAGTGTTTGTGTGCGAGAGGATTTGTTTCGCAAGGCTGGGGACCAAGGAACCTCGGCAACACGGGCCACAGTGCTGCAGGCGGAGCACTGTGACCCGTGCTGAAATTATCGCCTTAAAGGTATTAAACTGCTCGTTATGCTAGACTCCAGATCCCGAGCACTTCATATGTGATAAATTTCATAGCAGGGACGAGGGTCCTTAACACTGTGATAGAGGGGCAAGTTCGAACGGAGGGTGGTCTCGGAGGGACGCAGAGAGCCCATGATTGTTTCATGTCGAATGGGATGTGCATCGGCAGGAGGAACATGAGGGAAGATAAAATTTGCAATCACTGGTATCCGGACATGTCGACGACGTGTACATGCGCGTATGCGGGCGGATAGAGCGGGCTATGTGGGCTCACCGGGCGTAACCAGCTCTTTTTCCCCGTGATGGTCCAGTCGCTCGTTGTCCTGAATAGTTAGTAGCATGCGGAGTCTTCCTATTTTATTCCCGTTGAGTACCATTACGGCGTCATGTCTTGGGG